GAAAACACTTGAGAAAAAAATTAACTTGTGTAATATTGATATCAAACCATTACCAAGGTAATTCTCCTTCTATTGCACCATACAACAGAAAATATTGCAACCTTCTACACCACTGCAATTATTGCTAAAGCTATTTCTGCCTGTCAAACTAGTTTGCTGAGATTTTATTTTATTTTTATTTTCCTCACATTATTCCAACATCTAATGAAGTAATGCTTGTTAGTGTTTTTTTTTTTTTTTTTTTTTTTTTTTTTTGTGTGTGTGTAAGTCTATTTGCAATCAAATTGCATAGACTCTCTAGAACTTATCATTTAAGACTTAAAATGATTGTCCCCATTTCATATCAGTAATATTTTTCAAGTAACTGAATGCACTTGAAAAATTGAAGATATACATTTCAGGCTTGACTTTTTTATATTTCATACACAGCAAAAGAGATTCTTTTATGAGTAGCACAAAAAGATGTAACTAGTCCAAAGTAGATATTATGGCATAACTGGGTATGTTATGGCGAAGCTATAAAGAGCTTGCAAATGCCATAAATACCAGCAGTAAGTGATGCGTATATCCATTATGCATCTGCTACTAACTTTTTCATCATGTATTATGACATACATTTCACTTTTAAAAGCATCTACAGAACCTAAGTTTCATCTACCAATTTCCAGGCATTTTCCAGGCTGTGACTTTCAGAAATATGTGATTCACAACTTTCCACCTCTAATACCAGTGTTTACATATTTGAAGAAATCCTAGAAGAAACGTATTACTTCTGTTTGTAACTCACTGTGGCCTCTCCTATTTGGACAGTGTTCTACATGCATTACAGGTGAAAGATGATCTATAATTGCACTTGTAAACAACCATGGGTAGCACAATGTAAGAAACAACACTGCAAGCACGACTGCTGGTGCCTCTTTCTCTCTACAATGGCTGCAGAGTTAGACTGATGGCTCTCTGGGCTTTCTGCCAAAACAGCACACCAGATTAAAATAGAAAGAAGGGAAATAAGCAACCTGGGGTCCAAAATTTAATTCTGACCTTATGTATAAGCTCTATGGGAGGCTTGGGCAAAGCAGCATGTTAATATACCATAAAAGGGATGTACAAGGAAACTAGATAAAAAATAAAAAGAGAAAAAGAATTTACAAAAGCCCTTGTCTGTCATGTGCACATTTCAGTATTTTGAAACCATTGATCTTGAAAAATAACCAATTCTTCACATACAAATATTAAGCAGTTACTTTCTGCAAGTGGCATCATGTATTTCAGTTATATGTCCACAGGCCACTTTCTTTCAGCATGAGATAAACTATATTTTTATGGCTTTAACCCATTTTATTCAAGCCACAGACATTTGTTAATGAATTTGTGGGCTTATGGATCTCATTAACTATGAAATATGGATCGTATATCAGAAAGCAGATTTGGAATTGAAGGCTGAAAAGATCACCACATGAGAACAGGCTCTATTTACATTTTCTCTCATGTTAACAGTAGAAGTTGTTTTCTTCTACTCAAACATATTTGCTAATGGACTCTTGTGCAGAAATAGAGCAAAACTACTTTGACCAAATCAGTGTTCTTCACAGAATTGTTTATAAGGAGTAAATATTAATACAGAATTATTACTTACAATGTAGAAACAAGTCCAAGATTGCAAATAAGCAAACATTTTCATAAATATTTGTAGATGCTGACTAAGTTTAATGTTAACTTCTTTGAAACTTTATTAAGTTGTTCCTAGGGATCTTGTTTAACTTTTCAGAGGAGAAGAAAAAGTATGACAAGTACTCTGTTCTTCTGTTTTTCTACTATGAGGCTCATGTATTTATTAACTGTGTACTAGTGTACTTGTTATAGTGTAATTATTATATTTGGGCCCTCTACTGATTTTAAACATAGAAATTTAAACTATTAAACATCTATCGATAATATGTTTCATACTTATTAAAATAAAGTTATCATCATAATTCAGTTTTGCAGGTCTACAAAATAAACATAGAAATGTGTAAAAACATTTTAACTATTCTGAAGTGGATTCTGAAAAAGACTTGCTTAAATTGCAATTCTCAGAATGCTTGCTTTATTGATCTGTATTTATCATTAAAATATTTGTATAAAATGTTCTATTAGATTTGTCTCCTGCCTTTCAAGAGAAACTTCAGAGGATATAACGGAGTTCATCTACACACCACTTTTCAGAAACACAGAAATGAGAAACAGACCATTTTTTACATTTCCAGTCAAGTGAGATTCACGTCATATAGATATTAAAGTCGATCCTACCACAAAATTACAGGTGGTTTAGATATGAAAGAGAGAAGCTTTTTTTATGGCAATACACCCAACATGACATTCTCTCATGATATAACTTGAAAATTCAGGAGATATGCATCAAACTGCCAAAGAGCAACTATTTTCCACTTGGAGATCCAAGTCATCAAAACACAGGAAGGTAGATTAATTCAACTGTAACAAGGGAAAGTTTTCAAACTGTTATTCACCTATTCGCATCCTCAGAATAGAAACAGGCCAAAATCTTTCCTCATTATTCTCTTTATAGGGATTTATTCTGGCTTGAACATTTACCAAAGGCACCACTATGAATGTCAACAGAAAGCACTAGGAAGTGCTTTATGAATGACAAGAAATAGCCTGATACAAATATTTCAGCTGCATTGCGTGAATCTTTTGTTGTTTTTTAGCACAGCAGAATGCATTAGTGCATGAAGTGCTGATATAAACAGCAGAGTGATATAACTTTTGAAAGTTAAACCTGCCAATATCAACCATAACTCAATCCCAATATCATACTGTCTGCTTCGGTAGAGTGCATGATACAGCATAACACCAACTTCATGTTTCATGTACTTTTATGCCAGCAGTGGATGAACAGACAATACTTGATCTTCCACAAGCTTTGTAAGTTACAAAATTTTGTGAACAAGGTTCAATTAGCAGAATGACTGCTGATAAGTACATGGTTGGACGCAATACTAAGCATCCCAAACTCAGATTTATAATTCCATAGAACCACAACATGAATGAATGAACAAAGTCTTCCAAATCAAAGTGAATAAACTTCCAAGCACTTTACATAATTTACATTTACATAAATGTATGTAATAGCACCTGTAGGCGCATCTATAACCAATTGTTTCAATACTTCCTAATTACGCTTGGCTGCCTTTATGCTTTTACTGAATGACTGCCATGTCAGACTTGATAAAATAATGATATGCTCAACATTAAGTGCAACATTATGTGTAATAATGTCTTCAAGACAGAAATAAATCCTACATTTTTGCTGTTTTCTGTATTGCCTTCATTTCATTGCTTCCTTTTTGTTACACAGATCTAACACTGATTGCCTAAAGAACAAATGTGTGATAAATTTGGAGGGAAAAAAATTATGTCAGACTGAGTCAAATAATGAAACTGGAATCACTCCGTTTTTTGTTTTTTTTTTGGTCCCCATGCACTAGAAACCAAGAGACAGTAACAGGAGTGTTTGGTTACCTTAGCATTAACAAAAAGGACTTTTAAAACTCTAACATGGCCTGTTCAAAGAAACAGAGAATTCCCCGGAAATATAAACAAGATTTTCAGAGAGAAGGTAGACCTTCCAACCATTTTTAACTCTTCCTTTTTTTTTTTTTTTTTTAAGTAAGCCCACATCTCAAATATCCATTGACACATGCAGTCTGTTTTGTACACTGCTAATAATTCACATGCAATCTGAAGTTATGACTTTGAAAATCCTCTTGCATAATCAGATATACAAGAAAAACTAGTTAGAGGACTCCATTCCAATAACCATCTAAGAACCTGCTTTTCCACATGTGAATTTATGAAAATAGGAAAGGGAGAAAACAAATTTGCAAAGTGTATAATTTTTTAAAAGAACTCTTGAATAATTGACAGTCATGAAATTTAGATCTTAACTGAGATTTCCTACCTGCATCCCTCAAGTCTCATGACTACACAGCCCATGGAAGAGAACACACTGATCCTCTACAATCACTGTACAGAAAAACACTGGTACAATGTAGATTTCTTTAACCATTGTCAGTATCTTCAAATTTATTTTCAAAACTTACTACAGCTTGGTCACAGATCTAAAAGCAGATTCTAGAAGCCCTTGTAAATATTAGGTAATTTTCTCTTTCTGCCTTTATCAATACAGCACTATTACTAACATATCACAAGAAGATCTTTACTTAATTGACTGCTCATATACAAGTATAAAGTCTCTACCTCTCTAGCTGATTCCATAAGCATCCATGATTACATAATTCATATGGTTTCTGCGGTCTTAACTTTTAATTCCCTGCTACACATTAATAAAAAAGAAGTAATAAATAAATACATTTCCTACTTTAAGACTGCACTGGAAAAGTTTGATCCACAAATCAGAAGATCCAAGTGATTAGACTAGACCACACCAACATGGGAAACAAACAAACAAACAAGCAAAACACAGAATAGCTCTCTGCAATCCAATATTCTACAGAGTGATTCAATCGGTCTTCACTATAGTGGGCCACACATTAGGTAAGAAGACATTTTTTCTAGCTGGATTTATGTTCAGCCACACGAAGTAGTGCCAAGCTTTATTAAATGTAGTGATTTTCAAACAAAGATGTCCTGAAACACTGTCATCCTCAGGAAAAAGGAATGAAGCAATGTATCAAGATGGGATTGACCATTAAAAATTTCCATCAGCTAGAAATCCAGAAACCAAGTCAAGAAGAAAACTGAGACTAATTCACTCACCCTAGGATCCCAACCACTAGAGAATGTCCCTTCTATTGTTTTTTTCTACATGATTAACAAATACAAATATTCAAATTAGCTGTACGACATTAAAAGCCTACTATTTTCTGCAATGCTCAATTCCCGTATAAAAAAAATAAAAATAAAGCAGAATTCTCCCCCAATATTTATTCCTGAGTTACCATGAACATTTCATGTTACTCAATTATTCCAATCAATACCTGCAAACGTTCCAGCTGAGACGCTGACTTTCCTCTGAGGCAGAGAACGAGTGCCACAAATGCATTTAAGTCTTCCAGAGATAGGCTATGGACCTAAAACAGAGATGAAAGTAACATGTTATTTGAAGGCTCTGAAGAGAAACTGCTAAAATTGGCCCCTCTTTTTCTCAAACATGTCAAACATTTCTCAAGCACATCAAGACATTGATTTAAATCAATGACCTCATGGAGTTATGACAACCCTGAATGTACTGTCTAGGAAAAGACATTCACATAGAACAAAAAACTTTCACAATTTGAATGAAATGCATAGCTCGCCATACCCATGTATAGCATATATACATGATTGCCACACATCAAACAAAATGCACACCCTTTACATGTTCCCTTCTCCTATTTCCCTGAAGTTCCTTAATAACAGGAATTTTCTTCATAGCCATAATGCTGAGCATAGTAAAAAACAATCAAACAAAAACAAATAAACAAAACAATAATAGCAACAAAAATTACTCTATAACCAAGTCCCAAAATAAAAACCACCTCAATGAGCCACAGATCTGATGACCATTAGGATTTATTTTAAATGCTTACATAGTTACCTGTTGAAAACTTAAAAAAAAAAATAAAAATCTAAACTATTTTAATTACCTTTTCAAGTTAAATTTCAAGTTTTTTAAAAAAACATACCTGGATTCTTTCACTAGGTTACATAGTGATGTGAGAAAAACTCAAAACTCTAAGAAAAATGCATCTAAAATGCTTAAGTGAGAAAACATGAAGGAAAATTCTAAATTATTGTAACAGTTCACTCAAATTCTACCAGAAAAGGGAGAATATGGTGCATTTACTGATGTGAAAAAGTATTCTGGGATTTTGTAGATGCACATGGTCAACCTCAGAGGAAAGACAGTGCCTCTAGAGCAGCTGGACTGACACCCTGGCTGTCTAATTCTGATCATCTGCTTCCTCTGTAAGAACGGTAAATTATACTTGTGCCACAAGACAAAATACAAGTGTTGAGACTACAAAGAGGACTAAGTGAGATCCACAAGGCATTGAAGTTCAGTATCAACTGGAACTTAAGGGAAGGTATCTCTTGCAAAAGTGACGAAGTGTGTAATGTGTAATTACAGTACAGCTAAAAGGCTGCCTACAACTCTGCTTTCTCTGTCTTTTAACAGCTTGATTTTCAGGGAATGTTGTGCATATCCCACTTCAATCTCATATGACCTTCTATTAAGGCTATTATTAATTGTGAAATAAGGAAAAAAAAAGAATGAAGGAGAGAAAATACAAATATTGATGTAAATGAACAGGAAAAAAAAAACAAAATAAAACAACAAACAAACACAAAAGAATACTAAGAAGCCATCTATGATTACTTCATTCATTTATTTGCTTACGAGTAATCTTCAAGATATAAATTACTCAGCCACTATTGGCAGTTGTTGTATTTTGCTTTTCTCATCAGGCCTTGTTGCTTATCCTGTAGTAAAATACTTTCCTCTCTATGAAGTTATTAAAACTTGCATAGTGTAAGGGATGTCTTAGAAATTTTAAGTTTCCAATTGCTCCTTGGTATTCATTAACTCCACCTGGCTGCTGAGATCTGATAATGGCCCTACTTCACCCTGTATTTCAAGTCAGTTGTCATCTTTGTGTAGATGGCAACACATCTGCAAATTTTATCCATTGCAGTAACAGAAAAAGTGATTTATATTTACAGAGCAATTCTCAATACTTGCACAATTTTGTCTTAAGAAAAGTAAGTCAAAGTCTTTTTGCAAATACAACAGGAAAAAAAAATGTCCCCAGGAGAGTAGGCCAATAAAAATGTTTACCAATGTCAAAACATTTCTTTAGAGAAATACTTCATTCAGTATCCCAACTCAGTCAGTAATCATGCTTGCATTGTCAGATTTCTTCTAAAAATGTAGGAGCTTAAAATATTGTTTCTATCTCCCCTTTCTTTGGTGGCTCTACAGTTTTATCTCTGAAGTGATTCACTCCTTTCGCCATTTTTAAAAACATTTAAATGTCTTTTTTATTGTCATTTTTTCACTATTTTTATTTTCAATTAGAGTATATTTGAAAAGTACCCTCATTGAAAAAATTACACTTTAAATCATGCTTTATATGCTGTTATGGCACACATTTTGAGGAAGCCTGGTTGGTCAGTATGCTGGTTTGTCCAAAAATAAAGAAAAAGAAAAAAAGTTTCAGGTTGGTTTAAATGATATCTAACAAAATCATTGAGAAGTTTCTCCCTTGAGACAAAAAGTTGAGAAATTTCTCCCTCATATGACTTAACAGAAATGATGGTAGCGTACCTCAGATGGAAGCCTAATATTAACTTAAATCCCTTGGAGTTAACAATCCCCTTTAACTCTTTAATAAAAATTCAAGAATGAAGTGTAAAGACAAGAATTAGCCCACAGCTAGACAAGCATTGTTTTCTCAGCTACAAAAACAAATGGAGGCAGTGCTGTCAGCTCAAAGCATGGCTTCTGACACTTACTCTTGCTCTTCCTTTCAAACACACCATGAAAACAAATGGACAACATCAGAGAACAACGACGACAGCAAAAAAAAAAGAGTTAAAAACAACTAAGCAATGAAAAACATTTTGATCCAAATCAATTTGCTAGTCTAGTTCACAGGGTAGATTGTATTTATGCTTCTCTGAGGGCAGAAGAGAATCAGGAAAATGGGACAGGTGTTGAGAAACTGGTACTGCCATGAAAAACCTTCCATCAAGCTAAGCCCTTTTATCATGATCTCTCAGCTAGTCTTCTTGCTGAAATTACAAGCTGCAAAGCTGTTTTTCCTCTTTGTTTTCAATGTTAGCCACTGGATACTAAATTCTGAAGATCATATTGTTAAACAGCTTTTTTTTTTTTTTTTTTTTTCCATTTTATTAATATGCTGTGATTAATCCATACATTTGTAGGTGTTCCATCATGTTACTCAACTTCTTAATGCCACTAAAGAAACCTTTCTCAAATAATTTGGTAATCATGCTACAAAGGGGTACATAGAGTAGCATGATAAATGAATGCAACAGTGAAAACATATCCAAATACAAAAAAAACATGTAAAGTATGTTTTTAAAGCTAAGTATACAATTCTTATCTTGTTGAATTGAAACTGTAAGGCATGAAATGTTGTTTCATGACTTTGATCTTCAAAAAAATTTCCATTAATATTTTGCTATGCAAAGATTAAAGAAAAAAGGAGCTATATGGATCATTTGTATAATTCCCATACATACTGCCTCAATGCGTCATCTAAGTTTGAGCAAACATATATGAAGGAAAAAGAACAGAAAAGCCATAGAGATCCTATTTTCATGCATCATACAACACTATAATTGTCATTGAGGCAAGTGAAGTATGAAAAAGCAAAACAAGAGACGAAACACAGTTCAGTGTAAGTAAAAGTGCAACAAAGCTTATCAGATTAGATAAAGACATTCTAATTTTCTCATCCTCAGAGAGGAAAATCTACTTGTGAGATCACCATTTGAAGGGTGGCAAGTACAGGCAACATATTAAATACATAAGAGAAATATAAATAATAAAGTGTTATTGCATTTAATCTTGCATTCCTTTTCATTACAATTAAGGTAGTCTGCAGGCTGCCAAGCGTTTGGAATTATAGCAAAACTACTACCTAATGATCCCCTATTACTCAGACTTTAATGAGAAGAACCATGTCCTCAATTCTGGCTTGAAATGGAATAGATTGACAAAGTAGTGTGAAAAAATAGTGAGAGCTGACTAAATATTTATACTGCCTGTTTGCCCAGCCTGCATAGTCACCTGAGGGGATGTCTCCTTTTGATGACACTAAGGAAACACTAAGAAAAGCTCTAATTTGCAAACGGGTCCCCAAAAGGGTGGGAAATCCCTCAGTTTACACGCTGTCTGTTAAACTGCCCAAGGGGTTTTGTCATGGGCATGTGAGAGTTATTATGAACTACTAAAAAAAAAAGTGTTTCTTAAACAGGATGATGCATGTTAAATGAAGTAATTAAAATACTGTAATGCAGTACTATTATATTTGATCAACTATGCCTACAGTAAAGATTATGAGAAAAATTGACCGCAGGCCAACAAAAAAGAGTTTACCAGTCAATCACACCTATAAGGGATGACAGCTGAAGAAAGAGTAACTGTCGCAGTTACCTGCAGCATTAGATAGGCCAGCAAGCAGCAGAATCCTGCAACAGGTGCTTCTAGAGCTTGGAGCTCTTCCATCAAATCCTGAAGATGAAAGCATGCCAGAAATGTACTGTACCGTTGCTTTTCCACTTCAGGTCCCTTGGCAAACCACAGTGTTTTCAAATTAGGTGTTCCACCTACAAAAGAAATCCATTATTTTATCTTGGCAGCATCAAGATAAAACATGCCTTCCTAAGTAAAATTTGAAAGGAAACAACTGATCTGCTCTTGGCACTCGCAAGGACCACAGAGCGACAGTAAAATGAATTTGACACAACTTGGCATTTGAAAGAAACACAAAATATGAAGGCCTCTAATTTAAACACATTGTATCAAATACAGCAACATGTAAGCAGAGTGGGCTGAATTCAACTGTTACAACAACGCATACAACCTCCAGACAACAGACATTTGCGTTTGCAAGAACAATGTTTCCCTTGAAGGGTGTGCTTTCCTTGGTGACCCAGAGCTTTAAATGAGGTAAGTTTCACAATGATAAAATGATTCATAGGATACAACCACATCTTTCTTCTCTCTCCTAGCAACAGTGCATCAGATCCCCTCAGGGTGCTAGAATTGCCTTTCTCACAGCCACCTGCTTTAAGGAACAAACTGGCCACCTACACCATTTGCTGGCACGCACTCTCCACATAATGCTGGTGGCATGGTTCTTCTGCACTAGGTTCACTAGAAAGTTTGGGGAAGAAAAAAAAATCAAGGCTATCTGGCACCTTATGCTCTCTAGTCTACTGTATGAAACATGACAACAAACACATGCAAAAGAGCAGTCATCATTTATGTATATGTTTTCAGGCTTTTCTATAGTACCATTCACCACAGTGTCTAAATGCTTAATATTTATTCCATGTTGCCGTCTCCCAACTTGTGACGTGTGAACTAATGTAAAATTTGCTCCCCATTTAAATTACATTTAGTCCATTATCAAAATAAACACCAATGCATGTGAAATAACAGGCCAGCTAACTGGTTATGCCTAAGAATCCCCATTAAAGACAGAGCCCTACCATAAAACACTGCTGCTGCTTCTGTAGTTAAATAAAAAGGTGTGAATTTTAAATGTGGACCAATTAAGCTGCATTTGGTAACACCTTTTTTTTTTCTTGTGACATGCAGCAGCTGTAGTCCAGTTAGGAACACTTGGTGATAATAAATGGTTAAAGTGACAAGGTGCTGAATCTTACATAGATGCTGTTTATTTAGCCAAGAAAACTCATTAACCAAATGGTATTAATTCTTCAGAGAGGGTGAAACTAGAAAGTTCTCGGTATTTTCTTTCTTCATCTCCCTGGTGTAAGTTTGTCGTACTATTTTTAAGACCAGCTTTCTGTTCAAAAGTTTTAACTTATGTAAAGAGCTATCATTGCACAATCCACAAGTTTCTAACCTTACTTGTAAACGTATGTATTACATAACAAATACCAACAGCTTGATTTGGGTATCACAAACACTGTCAGTGACAGGACCAGTATAGACAGCACCGTCAGAGACTCAGACTGCTGTTTTTGATAGTGGTAATTGTTGCATTGAGAAAGAAAAGATAAAGTAATAACAATAACAATAACAACAACAACAACAACAACAACAACAATAATAATAATAAAGAACAGCACAGTGGCTTCAAGAAGAAGTAGATGCGCAAAGATAACATGCATAAAACTAAAACAAAGCCAACTTTCCCAATCAAGGCTAACCAACTGTAAGGAGCGAGATAATTTTTAAGTAGGTAAACTCAAAGAGTTTCGATGGCTTCTGCTTTCCCAAAGGTTCACATTCAGCCACATATGGAGAAAGACTCTAAGAATCAGTTAAAGTAAAGTACTCTTTCCATCTGTACTTTTAAAAAATGAATTGCATCCAAGGGTATACCTAATAATAGAAATTTTTCTTCCTTCAGAGTAAAACCATGAACTACATCAATAATCAAGGCTACATATCTATATTGAGAGAGCTCAACAAAAAATTCAAGACATCTTTTCCATAAACAGTTCGTTATACTTTCAGAAGTGACATCAACTTGCGCCTGGGAAAAAGAGGTACTGATGAATTATGAGTTATTTACTCTGGGGAAGAAAACTTGACACTACCTCCTTTTGGAACATACCTGCCAAAAACATTATTTTTATGAAGGGGTCTCAATGCATTCAAGAAATAATTAAATCCATGTCATAACCAAGAGAGAGAGAGAGACATTTATTAACCGTTAGATGAAAGATCAGTAAAAATGAACAAATATTTTGAAGTTTAATGACTTTCCCATGACCAAACGTACAGCCAACAACAGACCTAAATTCGTACACAGCAGACCCCCAAAACAGTCTTCTGCTCTAGCTACAACCTCACTACATACTTTACAGCAATTAGAAAACATTTCTGAAAGAGATAAATTTACTTGTAAAGGAATGAGAAATATTTTGCTTACTGAACACATCTAAATATTTACTAAATTAACTTAAAAAATGACAATAACAACAAACCTGAAAATCAAAAGGGAGTGAAGCAGAACAAACCATGCTTAAAAGTATAACAGATACATATTTACAGTAAAGATTAGGCAGGAGAAAATTATCTATCCTATTTGGGTCATAGGAACCATAAGGTGCTATGTGCATGTGAAAGTTGTGGAAGGCATTAACAATATGATATCCTTGAACTTCGGGCTTATACAGAGGCGACTCCCCACATTCATACCAACTTATGTCATCATTCTGTATATGGATATAAATGTATATTATTTACTGTTCGAGTCTGTTTGAAGTAATAACTATTGAAACTATTGAAACATTCAGAAGACAGTAATTGGAACTTGAGCATACTCACGACACACTCCTTTAAGATGTAATGATTAGAAGACTGAAAGTATATCCAGACTCCTGAAGTATAAAGTAGTCTACATGCACAACCAGCTAAAATATCCTACGTTTTCAAAAATAAAATGGAATGCAGAATTCATACTTTCCCACTAAAGATTTTTAAATCTCCTGTTCCATAACAAACTGAACACACATCAAATAGATCAGCTACATTCACAAGATATGGATGTTAAACAGTAATGTCTTAGATTACTGACCTTCTAATAAAATTCATTTCTCAGAGACAAATTTTGTTTTTATTTTATCAATTTAAGTAGTGTTTTGTCAATGTGTGGGAAACATCACAACCACATTTACTCAAATGAAAGGAAACATTCCAGAAGGGAGATAGACAGAGGATATGAACAAGCGCAGATGATAATTCAGAGGATTATCTCTCTAGAGAAATACATACACATAATAAACACTGTACTTTAAACATACTTAAGCTGCCAGCTTACAGCCTTTAGGATTCAATGTTTCATTAAAAAACCTTACATCCTTACATGTGATACATTACCTGCAAGCTTTTTAGATGCAAGACAGTTCTGCTGTTTTATAAACAAAAAAACATATTTATTGTGGGAATTTTTTTTAAGACCAATATGAAATTTATACTTAGTGATATACATTATAGTTCAAAATTGATATCAAATAATACTTGTTCAGACTTTTTAATCTAAATCAAACATGACAGAGTCAAGATTTCACATATATTCTCAGCATATTACTAAACAATGAACTACTGAAGTACTTGTGATGATGAGGCTATTGTTTTTTCCCAAAAAGACGAAACAAGGAACTTTCCCAATTTGACTGCACCTGTAATTTTTCGAATAGTTTCTATTAAGGTTTCTTTCTTTCTTTTTTTTTTTTTTTTTTTTTTGAGTAACCTGATCTTGATTGACAGCTTTGAACTCCAACTTCCTTTAACTTCTTTAAGTGCGCTCTAAATACAATCCCTGTCTGAAAAATGTGATGCGCTGTTGAGAACCTTATTTGGTGAATTAGAAAGTCATGCTGTGGAAAATAAAAGATGCATGAGCGAATGTAAGGCATACAAATATGGACTGCAAAAATTTTAGAAAAATATTTGTTCGCTGAAGGAATGACAACAGAGCACTAAAAATAAACACCAGAAGTCCTCCTCCCCTTTTTTAATAGTCTGCTAGAACAGTCTTTCATTGCTGATTTAGTAAAGATTATGTCTCCAAAGATGCTGTTTTTACAAACTCCTGATATGCAGTTGTTGCACACAAACTAAGTAATTTGAAATCCTATTTACTGTCAACATGAAAGTGGATTCTGCGTGTAGTATGTTGCAGGGCAGTTGAAACAGAGCACATTCCTCTCCAAGAAAGGAGGAAGGCACTATACTATCTGGGAAAGAAAATTTCACAACAATGAATACAGTATATCTGCCATGCAAACAGAAATGTAACAACATAGGTATCATTTATACTTTGTTGAGTTTTTGTTTGTCTTTAAAAATGCATGCTCCCACACCATTACATGCTGAAATAAAACAGCTCTACAGGACAGACAAATCAACTTTTACCGTGCATATTCATATCCATTTGGAAAATTTCACAGCAATTTCATGCTATCATCAAGTCAATTAGATAATCACTCTTCTAATAGCATATCAGTGCTACTGGACAGTGAAACTACTGTATATCAAATGAAGGTTTGTTTGTACTTTGTTTATATAACTCAATTCTTTCCAAACAGTTTTTTTCAAAAGGATTTTGATAAGGCTGCTATCTAAGATCAGCTGTTTTTCCTTCATACTTGAATTTGAAGACTCCTACTAAATATTACAACTTTTAATCATGAAGATAAACATACCATCTTAGGATACTTTGAGACAGTTTACTGTAACTGCAGAAAATTAAAAACAGGTAGTTTCTAAAGCCCCCCCCAAAAGAAAAAAAAAGAAAAAAGGAGAATGCAGCTTGATGTTTATGTTCACTACAAAGAAGTGAAGGCATTTTCCTCAACAAGGTATCAGTGATATATCAGTGAAACTAACATATTTCATATAAAAACTAAAAAACTTCCAGCTTCTGATCCACATGCTAGTGGTTGAACAGAGAGAGACAGCTGTGAGAATAAAGGTAGACGGGTTACAAGTACAATAGCATTATCAAATTAACAATTAGAACAATTTTCCTTCTAAAATAACAAAAATAATACACCACTGTTTATTTCCTATGCTGAACTTGTACAGCATCATACTATTTAGTGATAACAAGGTAAGTGACATACACCAAGCCCAATCTTTTAACTGCTGTGTACTTCCTCATAAATAGATTCCTAATAATACTGATTTCACAGAGTGTTCAAGAATCTGTACATAATCAAAGGAAAAAAAGTATGAACACACAAAACACTTGATGCTTAAGACAGTAAAAGACACTACACAGAAACAAATAACTGATAACAGATAACTACTTGTTTGTTTGTTTGTTTTTGTTTTAATTTGGAACTGGATTCTCTCTTCTGGGTTGTCTCAAGTGATCTAAAATGACCCTTTTTTATATTCTCCACCAACCTCATTAACACATTCTCTCAAACAGCTCAATAGGAGTATTTTCATAGGGCCCTACACACCACTTATACTAGCCTCAGAGCAGCATTTAGAACCTTTAAGGAATTGTTTGCATTTTAGAATGGATGTTTGAATTAGCACCGGGTTTAACAAGACACAGTAATAAAATGTAGCTCAAAGCGGAATCCTAGTATAATTACATAGGGCAATTAAAAGCAATTACAGGCATGCAGCATTTCTAATTTAGCTCCTTGTTCTCCACAATCATTTTGGATACCATATCAAATGTCTGATGATATATTTTCCCAACCTGATTTTAGTGATGTCATTATTTGAGATTTAAACACATTTTTATTCTACCTGGAAGAGGAGGCTGGACAGGTTGTATCACCTCTGGCTGCTGCAGAGGATTTCCAAAATAGACAAACCACTCTTTCACAGAAGGACAGGCTCCACCTAAACAAAGACAGAATTGGGTGAGTAAGTGGAGTACAAGCATTGATGCTTGCATAAAAGTTGGAAGCAGTGGTGGTCAGGGTTCTAAGTAATAGGAAGTACTTCATAACGACTTGTTTGCTCAACTTCTTTGAAATAAAAGCACAAAAGATTAGTTTTAGGATCTTTATGACAAATCATCAGAAAAAGTGAAGAGAGTTTGAATTATGTACCATAAACATGAGTTTAGAGTTGGGAACTGCAGCCAAAAATGTAAGTACAAAAGTCTGTGGAAAGCATTCAAAAACATCTTTCAGCCAACTTTAGGCCCTCCCATTCCAAGGCAGTTCAGGCAGGGTTGAGGCATCTGGTGTAGTTTAGGGACCTGCATGAACTACCTCAGCCTCCTGGGGCCACAAACGCAGACAGCCCTTAATATGGTCCTCCTGCCAGCTTGCCCTGACAATTCCTGTATCAGGGCTTACAACAAAATCGTTACAGGAGGCCTTGATGGCTATCTATTGAAAGCTGACAGCAATGGAGTCACCCCAGTCAGATGCAGAGCTTTTAGAGTCCATTGTTCCAGATCTTTTATTCGGTATAAAGGGATTGTTTATGCCTAATAGCTCAAGTGGCTTCCTAGCCCTCCAAACCCCAACTGCACCCCCTGCTCCATGTACAGATTAAGGCGTCTCTTAACTTAAGAGTTTCACTACTTGAGCCACACACTTCCCACCCCATACTGGCTTTAAAGCTGAGCTCACATGAAAATCCAAGGGAATCTGGTACCTTACTTCTCTGCATCACTCAGAACATGTCTGCCGTAGGAGTGCTGGGGTGAGGAGGACAGAACAGTCACCTACCAGTTTTGATTTCTGTTGTACAAAGCTGACCTAACCAAGGTCAGTTACCAGATTCATAGAATTGTATCTCTAAATCCATCCATCTCTCACTCAGTGTTTTTGAGACACGGGGGTTTCAGTGGTACTAACAACAAACGCCTGCCTTTTGTCATTAATTCCCATCACTGTGCATTTTAATGCACATAGATTTCTAATGCTGCAATCTGAGCCCCCCAAAAATCTTTACCTTGCATAAAACATCAAAGACACACAAACAACAACCAACTATCCAACACTCTCCTCCCCTTGTCTCCCCCATCTCAAGAACTTTGGTCATTAGTTTGGTCATTAGTTTCCTGTCCATGTCCATAGTTCAGTGCAGAAAATGGCTGCTGGCTTGAATGAGCAATAGCATGCCATGGTGCAGGGGAAGAAACACCTCAGATGGGCTGCTAGTTCAGCGATAAGAGAAGGGGAAAAGAACATGACAAAATCTGTTTTACTGTCCTGCTTCTTTTACCTTCCTTAAGCATGGACCCGCAGCACAAACTCCCAAATACAGGGGAGGGACTGAAGAGTCAGCAACTGGACTGCAAGGGATAGCACTACACCTGTGCTTGCCATGCTTTGCTGTTTGAAAACTGTTGATGTGAAGAATAAAATGAAAAATGCCTAGGCTGGGGAAAAACAAACAAAAAACTACATTCAACTGCACATTCCAGTAGCTGAAGAGTCTCAAATCTTCATTATAAATCATTGCCAATGATAATGTTTTTCCATTAAGAAAACCTTCTAGTTTAATAACCCAAAGTCACTTTCAGAAAGCATTTTCATGTTTTAGCACTGTTTGAAGCCATTACGTAAATGACTCTGCTTTATTCAATCCATTCAACCTCCTAAATTTTAGCCTGGCTTCTTAAGGAAGCAAGGCTTATATAATTAGGATGTCTGTCTTTTAACTAATTGTTGGACCCACTGCTCTTTTTCAACTAAATCTGAAAGAGCACAAAAGATTTCAGTTGTATGAAACAGCAAAACATTGCACGAAACTGGTGACTCAGCTGACAGATCCTATTAGGGCACCAACTGAAAGAAAGGCAGGAAAGTCAAGTTACCTGCTCTATCTGAATGCACTGGATGGCCAAGCAATAAACCAATAGCTATGGAAGACACAGAGTTGAGTAAAAAAAAAAAAAATGTACATGGGATTTGGGTAGAGCAACAAACAAGAGGGGACATACTCAAGAACACAATATATTGCAGAGGGTCCTGCAAATTCACAGCACATTAACCTAGCAAGAGCTGAATTGAAAGGTGATTACTAAATGCCAAGTCCCCTGGCAGGGAATTATCTCCGGGGAAAAAAGGTAGCCTAATTTTTGAAACATTTTCCCCCCCCAATACACATAAAGAATATCAACAGTGAAATTCAAAAACATCAGTTTCTTTGCTTAAATAGACCCTGTACAACCTGTGAGAGCATTGCCTAGCAGCTGAAGGAAAATTTCAGCTACGTGCAAAACACTGAACTAAGAGACTGCTGGAAACGGTGTGCTCCTCTACACCTGCACCAATGCCAACCCTACTGATCGGTCACTGGTGATAACTGGCAAAAATTCTACTAATGGCCTGTTTTTGACAGTGTCAAAAGCATGGTCAGCCTGGGCTGCTAATCTTAGAACTGGGAGTGATGCCAGGACTTCCAGGAGCTGGCCACGTGTTTAGGCCACATTACATAACCTTGCAACTGGTGCAGGTATTTCCATGGCCTGAGTTAGTGCCAAAACCTGTCGGCTTTGTTCTGAACTCTTTGTGTACAAAAGAAAGAGCTTGGCTAGTATCTCAGCCTGCACTATTTACTGTTATTTTCCCCTCCTCCTCAATTTTTTTTCTAACAGTACAGTTCTAGGAACAATGCTAAAAGTTGACAACTTATGTATCACTATAAAGCAATATTCCAACTAGTGCTGCTCAGAAGAACCTCTGGTAATAAGAATTATATTTTTTAAAAACACAAGCAACAAGTGCTGTATGATCAAGATCATCTGCCTCCCCCCCGCCTCCCTCCCTTTTTTTTTTGGTGGGGTGAAAATAAGTCTGATTCTAGTAATACTTTGGTAAGTAAAGGTAAGCACGTGCTTACCATACATCAAATTACAGCCAAAGCGACAGCTTCATGACCATTGATTTGCTCACTCCCACTCCCTGCTGTTCCCTCAGGTTGTTTCACCACAACTGTTTGTGACTACACAGAGTCAGATGGGGAAACAGAACCAGGTTAGTTACCTGACTGCAAGAAAGTCAGGGAAAAGAGAAAGGGGCTATTTTCAATTTCTCAATATAGGTCACCGTGTAGCTGCTCAAACAGCTGCACCGGCACAGCTGAGAGGTTGCACAGGGACTGAAAGGAATGGCTGTGCAAGAAAATTATACCGGCAGTGGCAGCAAAATAAATGCTGGTGAAGTGGCTTGGTCTATGCAGGTGATTTCAAAGGATATGACGACATCCAGCTCCGATTGATTCTTGAGTATCTTTGGCACCTGAAAATCTTAACCTAAATAAACAAAGCCCAAGAGGTTCTTGTTTCAGGGTTGATGGAGCTGTTTATGTTATTTTTAGAAATGTTCTTAACTAAAACTGCAATCGCTGCTTTTAGAAAATGTTGGCTGTTTTGTTATCCTTATTTAACAGTAAATGAGAAGATTTGCAAACTGCAAAGAGGTCAGTATCCAAACCAGGAATCTTATAATTGAGGGATCTTAAGGAATAAAAGCGGGTATACATACGTCTCCACTGCAAACTGGAACATTGTGTAGTTAGCCAACTTGATTTTACAAGAGCTACACTGGCAATTGTTTCTCCATGGCAGCAGGCTCCAGACTAATTTAATTGGTTGCCTCCTTCCAGTAAGCTCTTCTTTTTAATGCTAATCCAAAGTAATTCTACATTATATGACAATCTACATACAGTGTTGTTTACATCTCTCCTTACTACCCCTCACTGAACTACAAAAAAGTCAGACTTTATCCGAATGAAACTGGTAAAGGATTCTACTTACTTTGAAGAGAACACTATTGCCTTGTAGCTCTACAAGGAAATTCATTAAAAAATAATGCTGACATTCACTTACAAATTTCCATGCAGAATCTGATTAATGGTCTACACTCTTGACCTGAAAGCAACTATACACTGGAGTAAATACCAACCAACCAACCCATGAACGACTAGGAAGTGACACAGTTAAAGCAGATAGAGGTAGATACAAGCAATAAAAATGCAGATTTATTACAGTAGCCATGCAGACAAGCTCTACCTACCTTTTTGGAAAGGTTAAGGATTGGGGGTGTTCAACAAGATTTACTTTAAAAAACTGTTTCTGGATTTGAACCATGAACTGAGAGCAAGTAAAACATGTTATCCATGGTTTTATTATAAAATGACTTTCTTAAAAGAAGATCTCTTTCAAGTCCAAATTTCATTTTCATTACGATTCTAAATTATTGTTTCTGTATTTCAATTCTAATCTTCTTCATCTGACCACTACAAACACTAACACAAACGCAAATCTGCCTACTACCCTGCCATCCATTAACAATTGTTAATTAGAAGTTTTGGTACTGGGTGTTTCTGAAAACATCAGTGAATATCCTGCTGTGTAGAGGAACAAACAAAACCCAATGAAGTTATAATTGTCTACAAAATTTAGAGGCAATAGGCTGAAAAATGAAAGATGACAGATGTGCATGACTACTGCTGAGCTTTTTGTAATTCTCTCTAAAGGACTATGTAAACTCTGATTCATTTTTTCCTCCTTTTTTTTCCTATTATGGTATGACTTCAATCTCTAGTTGGTGAAGGAAGTCAGGTACTTCATTTATATGGCCTTTCTAAGCACATAGTTTGAATACTAAGTTGATGGTGGGGCACTTTCATCAATACAAATGTAAAGTGAATGACAGAGAGAAAACAGCATATTAAGGAGAATAAAGGTGCGTTTTTTCAAGTCACTGCCTAAAAGCCACTGGGAGCATGAAATAAAAGCCACCATAGCTAAAAATAACATTTAAGTAAACTCTTAAGAGTGCAAAATTTGTACAAGGATGCACATAAATTTTGTGTCTTAAAGTAGAATAGAAGCACAGATACATACCTACTGCAGTATCTGTTTATACAACTGGATAAAGAAATCTTACCTTCTTCCACCTTGATGAAAGAATTAATAATCACTGGCATGACTGCTTGTGTATTACTGCAATAACTGTATTTGCCTATCAGATGTTCTTAAAATCATAGACTTAAAATCAACAGAGGGTAAAATGGTAACTGTTTTGTAGAAGTGTATTATAGCTGACATTAATTCATCGGGAGATACTTAGTAAAACAAAACAAGGCTTTATATCCTCTCAAACTCTTAAAATATTCTAAACATCTTAGTTTTGCTCAATCTTTTGATGAGTAACAGCTTTCAAAACTACAATTTAATTGTCAAGTTTTCTTTTGATTCCTTACAAAATACATTTCAGTTGCCCACAGTTTTTATCCTAAATGCCATGTAGAAGTAGCCACTGAAACAACAAATTCAAGATTTCCTATCTCAGAATTTAAAGTACACTTGAGTAATGGTGTAAGTAGCCTCACACTTACCTTTTCCAGGTTCCAACAAGACAGAATAAACATGCTGACGAACAGGGCGGAAGATGAGTGCCTGTCCAGGAATCTCTGTATCACGATCATCTTCCAAAGAGTTGCTGCACTCAATCACTCCATTACACAGGATATTGAAGACTACATAATTTTCAGATTGGATGTGCTGTTCCTTAGCTAACTGTTCAAAGAAAGAAAAAGGTGTTATCTCCAAAATTAAGAATGATGAAAAAGTAACAAAACCCATCAATTGTTAGAGGAATTGGTACAAGTGGACAGAGTGGTCAGGAAAGGAACAAGCACTTTTTCAAAAAAAACAGGAGTATACTATGTTTTCAGACACCTATCTTTTTATAGACAGGAATTCCCAGGAAACTTCCCATCATTGCCATTCTCTTAATTGCTCCTTGAATTCTTAAATCTTGAAGTTTTTTTTTTCATAACACCTTTTTAGAGAGTAATCATTTTTAGAATGAGTTCTGAATTCAGACATGAAAAAATGAGCTGTCCTCCTTTAGACACTCTTCTTAAAGAGTTCTTCCCTTTCTAAAAAGTGTATATACACTTCAAAAAAAAAAAGTACAACCCTTGACTGAAGGCATGACAAAACCCAAACCTTTCATTTTATTGTAAGACAAGCTATACAAGACAGCCCCTTTTCTTTCCTGAGAGTAGCTGGATTTGTGTAGTTTACATAGTGATGAAATTAGAATACTGAAACTTCACCACACTTTTACTTTGTGATAGTTTTTTTCCCCCAGGGAAAGAAATACAGTCTACTTCAGTGAGGAAACAAAGTCTCCAGCCTTGCTGAAAAGCAGAATCACAGCATCAGGCTGCAGGTTGGCCACCCACCAGATTCAGGCACATCAAATGCCTACAGGCAGCCTGGGTACCTACAGGGACAGCTGGTCTGGACCATCTTACAAACAAAGCTGCTCTCAGGCACCGTACACTAACTAACCTGGACTGGTCAAGTCCAGAGCCAGCCATAATTTCTACTTAAAAACTTCAAACCCAAACTACAGGGGTGTAATTTTCCTGGACCCATGCTTTATGGCACACAGGCAGAGAAGTTTCTCTGCTTAGCATTCCCTGCATGTGTCACGCTATCCATATTATTTGGGTTGTGCCATCTACACAGCTATCTCAGTCCTTTTTGCAGGGAATTACCAGACCACTGGCCAAAGAAACTCATCATCTCTGCAGGATCTTGGTACCTACAAGCCTAGGGACTCAGGAGTTCAAAGTGCAATCAAACACTGGCCATTACTGATCAAAACTAATTCTACGGAAAGATCATACTTTCCAAATAACTGCTCACATGAGCATACAGTGAATGATAGGCTTCTGTATAGATTGCCAATCAACGGAGCATTTTCTTATAGCAATAAATTACTGGTTGCCTGGGAAGAAATACTTCATGTACTGAAAGAATCTCCCAAATCCACTTTTGTATAAAACAAAACCAAAGGGTTTTCTGAGCATGATTTGAATGAAGCATCATGGAACTATTTCAGACAAACTTTCACAAATATTAGATCGTTTGAAAATGCTAGTTTCTTGTCATTTGCAAATAGCATACACATCCTAATGTACTGGAAAAAAAAGGAAAAAAAAAGCAAAACGATGATTTTAATAGTAAAGTTGTTTTCAATGCTTTATCTTGAAAAATATTTCTAATTTACACATGCAGACAGCTATTAAGGTATGTTCTTCTTTCCTGAAGGAATCAGGAACATGAGGCTATGTCCTTGAGGTTGGAACTGAGCTGTGTGTGCCATTTATGTGCATTTTAGATAATGTGCAAGGCATACAGAATTACATTGTGGATTTCAAAATATGAAACAAAGCACACACATAACATATATAAATATTTAAACACCTGTAACAGAAAAGCAGAAGACAACATGTCTTCAACTTTGACTGTAATTTCCTTGGCTCAGGTACGACCTTGACATGGGATTTATGCAGCGAGAGTGAGGCTTTCTTGAATGGAGCTTCTAAACGTTATTATTTCCGTACAGCAGTAGCTCAGCATGATGCTAGAGAACTGCAACACTATAAATGAAAGATTAAACCAAGAAATAATGACCACTTGTCATAAAGACCACATGGTACATTCTCTTAAGGAGTAAAGATATTAATACTATTGTCTTGGCTGTAATCCAACCTAGATAATTACATTCTGCCTAATTTTTCCTTGCACTTCAAGCATAAACAGTATTTTTCAACACTTCATTAGGATGTGGTGTTGTTGTTTTTCTAATGATGTCCTCTATTTAACTCGTACAGTCAAAAATTACACGTATTGTATCTACATGTGGTTAACATCAAACCCAAAGACGTCTGCAATTTAGCTGAAATGAGCATTGCATAGGTTTTAATTTAATTTTAATTTTAAATGTTTCAGAGTCTTTTTGAAAAGGAAAATGTAAATTATATAATCAGAGCAATATAATGAGGAAACAAAAATAGTCTTAAAGCAAAGATGCAAGACAAGTAAGAGACAGACAAAACAGGGAGTAGTAGATGACTAATACAAGGTACAAAAGCCACTACCTCCTGTAGCCTTTTTTTTTTTTTTTTTCCAATTAAAGCTCAATATATTCTCTGAATTGCCATGAATTTACAGAGTTCTGCTCTAGGCTTACTGCTGTTGTACAAACTCCAATGCAAGGCAGCTCAGTTGGTATAAAGGTCAGTCCATGTCTTGGCAGCAGAGTTTTCTATTAGCCAGGCAGGCTACCTGAGCTAACACATCCAATCTGCTAGAGCGAGCCAGTCTGACTGTACAGCTTCTCACCCCACTGGCAGTGAATCTCTGCCCCCGTGGGAAGCCACATGTGAAACCTTAGTGCAGCCCTGCCCTTTAAGGATTAACAGGCCACTGCACTGTTCATTCAAGGACAGTGCGTCTGAATGGTAAGTCCTAAAAGCTTGAAATACAGATTTATTGGAAGCTTTCCTGTCTCCTCCACAACAGCAATTTTAACTCCTGTGTTCTTAGCACAGCTCCCCTTTGGTACTTTGACTACACGTACCAGCACAGCCCAGCAGACCACTAACCAGCTGCATCTGACTTGTGGGCTCTCAAAGCAAAAAGCAAGTTATTCCATGGTGCAGTACAAGGAAAGCAATCTCTGTGCCCAGCTACCAGCCCAGACACGTGCTGCTCCCTGTTATTTGACCTGACACTTCAGGAAGAAGTTAACTAAAATGTGCTGTATCTGCCCTTAGCATGATGCACATAATACTCCTAATCACAACTGCTCTTAGCAAGCAAAAGATTTTGTTCAAGCAAATTTAAATAAATAGGTGCAGTGTACTCATTACCAACTTTCACTATGTAGTCATGACAATAAAGAGACCACTGAGCTTTAGAAGACAAGGTACCTGAAAGATTTCCTTATCTTGACACATGGCTGTTTCTTCTACAGCTGAGAATGTTTTGAGATGTTCTGCAGTGGGAGGAATCCATGGAGAGTGCTGCCCAGGCAAAAGATAGGACTCCATTCCTCTGAGAAGTAATGTCTTGTCTGATCCCAAAGGCAACATCTCTTCCAAGTGTTTCAGGCTGCTGTACGAGCACGGAACTCTCGAGATGTAGTTTGCTACAGCCAGAAGTACATTTGTTCTTCTGTTGTAGCTCTTGTTCCTGGGCGGACAGGTGGCTAAACATTTACTCCAAAAGCCTTCCAACAAGCTTTCTGGAACAACATCATTGCCAAGCAAGCAAGCAAAGAGAGGGAGGTGTGTCAAGCTAAGACCCAATGCACGGCAAAGAGCTTCTCTGCAGTACATAACAGTGACCAGCTTGTCCAAGCAGAGCTTCTCAATGGAAAAATAGGGAGATGTATTATAGATGAGGTAGTCACTGTCTTGCCCAAGAATTCCTATGCAGTTATGCTGCAAACCGTACGCAGCCACCTCAAAGTCTGCCTCCTTCAACGTGCACACTGTTTTTTGACCGAGTGACTTCAGGGCATACCGTGTAAAAGTAGGCAACGCTGAGGGAAGAACGAACATTCCTCTCCCCGGTTGCTTCCTGTGAGTCTTGACAAACTGAAACAGCGCAGCTATTTCCTTGTAATTCTGCCACCTCCGTTTGATCCACTCGTCTCTCTTCTTCTCTTCTACCACTCCATCGAAGTAAAACACCAGTGTGATACCGGCTGCTGTAAAAGCTTTAATAAAAGCCTCTAAATTGGCCAGGTACTCCCGCCACTGGCCACCGCACACCCAGGATTCCGGCGTGTACCAGTGCCTAACGCAACTCATGGCATCTACTACGATAACAGGTGGGATATCTGGGTGATCAATGCGATGCTTTTCCGCCACCTCTTTCAGATCTACCGTTCTGCAGGCATCAGGGCAAACTCTTGTCACAAACCCCTGCAAGCCTTTAATGCCCATGGTTGACCTCTGAAACTCACAGCAGCCTGAAAGAAGAAACATAAAAACAGAATTCCAAAATGCACTACTAAGAAATATAATAAATTGCTAGTTTGTTAAACAAATAAACAAACAAAAGAAAATTTAGAAATTGAACAGGCATTTCTCTGCTTTTGCTAATTGCTTTTATTTTATTATTAATCTTGGCCTTTAAGCTGTCTGACCCAGTTTTCATCCCATCATCAAACCGGACATAAAGCCCATTCGCTTTGCTTTCCACCTCTGTTTTTTTGTATCAGTGAAAACTGTAATAATCAAAACATTTTCATCTGTGTGACTTGAAACATTTCAGATGAAGTGTTAAAAAGTATACATTGCTAGGAAAACAAATACAGATGTAATTTAAAGCTTTATATCATCTCAGCTGACAATGTGCAACACAGGAATTAATGGCTTGCTTTTCACACTAAAAGTGTATGAACATCTTGTATTTAGATGAAAAAATACTGTTCTGAGTAATTTTGGAATCTGGTCTTGTACCTTGAGTGTTCAAATCACTCAGCTGCCGTTACAGTTTACAGGCAGCACTCCATCAGTGTGGTACCACTTGCATGCAATACCGACTTACCCAACATTATTGGCACTGTCAGTTTGCTCTGAATCAGAAACTGAATTCACTTTACCATGGCATTTGAAGACATAGTTACATTTCAAGACATGTTTAAAGAATTACAGGCTTACCTATACTTGATAAATCTACAAATTTGACTATCATTAATAGTGAAGTTACTTTATTAGGTGGGATTTCTAACATGCACAGCAATTTTGAACAAATCTATTTTAAAAGACATACATGCCAACCTTAGATAGAAAATAAAAAATTAAAAATCAAATGTCTATTTTTTGTTTACGAACACCAAAAAATTGAAGCATAGCCTCCAAATTCTGTGGCAGAACTTTATTTGGCATCCTGAATGAACCATGAACCAATATATGTGTTCCACAAAAAGAGAGTCATGGGATAAAATTAAAACCATAGATGACCTCTGTTTTTGTTTCTAGAAATCTCAATGCAAATTAGTTTGGCAAAGCTTTGACATTAGATGTGCTCTTTCCTCTATGACAACACCAATTTCCATTACCACACCACCATTTCAAAGGACCTTCCAATGAAAACTGGAAGTGGCAACGCTGACTTTCTCATCACACTTTGTTTTGATCTTTATTCTCAGAAAATCTGTTTTGCTTTTATTTTTACTTTATTTGAAAGTCAAATCCTTTCTCAGTTACACAGTGAAGACACTCATGTTTTAATTAATCAGGTACATTTTTTTGTTGTTGTTTCTCACACTGCTGGTTTCTGACATTTCAGTTACAGACTGTCCCAGGGGTGTTACAATAAACATGCTTCTGATATATACAAAAAAAAGTTGAATTCAAACAAATACTGCGAATTGACAACTTTTAAAGTTATTTCAGTTCTTCTTCCTTGGAGTTTTAAATATTTAATACCCTTCAGATACAGTTTCTGAATACCATCCTCTTTAATGCAATATGAAATACATGAATTTACATACAATGTAAGGCACAGGTACGCAAGGTAGGGCATTGTGTTCTCAAAAACATTACTTCCAGTGATACCTGGGTGCCTTTAACACTCCAGCCATTTGCTTTTCCAGGACAGCTCCACCTCTGATTGCAAACAGTTTGAGCGCTGGCAGGTTACCTATCACTTTCCATGGAGATCTAGCTGTGAGTGTGAAGATCTTCACCTTTCAGGCTCTAACGTGTGTTCTCAAACTAAATGATAGGAGTTCACTACCCGGATGCAGTGCAGTCATTGCAGGTCTTACTGCTGCAGAAACGTGCTGTGCCCAAGCGTTACTTATAATTCTGTACAGTTTCTGGCCTTAGTGGCTGCACACCTAGAGCAAGAAGTGAGGTAGAACAACTTACTAGTTGTACCATGTTTTATTTTTAAGTTCAAAGTGTCATTTCCCTTCACCTTCAGACTCTTATATCTGAAGCATTCCTCTTGCCTAACAGTTTATGCAAGTCTGTGACACTGACATTATCAGAAAAATGTCCAGGACCAGTACCAGCTTGGCCTAATCAACAGAAAGTTAACAGCCAAGCACGTAGGCAAGACTCATGGGTGGTGTTACCATTTTATCATTATCACAAACATCTGCAGAAAACATAATATTAATAAAAAGATTGTATGTTCTTCCACCCATCCTGTTTTTCTTCTTTTCATCCAGGAGCCTCAATTAATGGGAAACCCTCTTCATATATATTGATACTGAGGTGGATTTCACCACAGTATCAGAAAACATAACAAGATCTAATGCCTTGAGCAGAAGGTCAATAATGGTAAAAGAGGGACTGAAGTGCTGGATGTTGGAACACTGTTTCATAAGAGTGGCAAACCTGTGAGCTTTGTGCAACAGATGAAGGGTTTAAAGCTGGATACTTATTTTTTTGTGAAACTGAGACCTCAGGTTTACACGGGATCTCAGCTGCAAGGCTAAAAAAACGTTCTTTATTCTCAGAAAATGCAATCTGCAGGAAGAAAAAAAAAAAAAAGGAAAGAAAACCCTCCACCACCCCAGTAATCAGGGGTGTCTTCCTTCCTTCCGATGTTTACACAAGCACCAGGATCCAGGGGACACCCCAGGAACTTTCTGCAGGCCGAACACCGCTGACTTTATGTCGCCAGCACCCCCCCACCACCACCACAGGGATTTTATCGTCCCCCCAGCGATTTTATCGTCCCCCCACGAGGCGCAGCGCTGCTGCCGCCACCCCCAGCCGCCCTCGCAGAACACCCTGGGGCCGAGAAGGGACAAGGGGCAAGGTCCCCCCGCTCCCTTCCCGGCCGCAAGGGGCCGAGCCCCCCCCGGGTCCATGCTGCGATCGGGGCTCCCCCACAGCCCCCCCCGCCCACCCGCTTCGGCCGTTAAACGGCACCCCCGGCACTGACCCGAGCCTGCGCTTCCGCTTCCCCGCGGGCGGGGCTGCGCATGCGCGCAGCGGCCGGGCCGGGCCGCGCTGAGGGGCCGCGGGCAGCGCAATGGCGGCCGGGGGGGGTGGTGTGGGGGAACGGGGCCGCCCGCGGCTCGGGCCGCGGTTAAGTACTGTTTCAACAGTACTTAACACGTGTAGGATTCAACAATGCGATGCCCCCCGGCATCGTGCGGGCACCGTGGGGCTGAGGGGCTCGGTGTGGGCCGGAACGAACCCGGGCAGAACCAGGGAGGGGGATGTGGAAGAGGCACGCGCAGTGAAGCAGTTTAAAAAATAATAATAATAAAAAAAAGTCAGCAAAACACCCGCTGAGGCGGTTTGAAAATTAAGAAATGCCAACAAAACACCCCCTGAAGCAGTTTAAAAAACAAAAACCACGAACAAAACTACAACAAAAAACACAGAACCCCAAGCCACACGTCCAAGGTTTATGTCACCTTTTGGCCGCGCAACCTATTGACTGACACATCGGGGGAAAAACAGTGGGATTTGGTCAACAAAGCGGCCCCTGGGACCTCGAGGGCAAAATCTGAGGGTTTTGAGGGCAAAACTGGGGGCCAGATTGGGTCTCCTGGGCTTTGTGGTGAGCGGGGAGCCCTGCGGCAGGCCCACCTCCGCCCTGCAGGCAACAGGTGGGGGCCTGGATAACTCCACATGTTTTCAGGGGGGAAGGAGGGGGCCAGGGAGCCGATGGAGGGCTGAGATCAGATGTTGCTGCCGGTGAAAAATTAAACAGAGCGGTGCTCTGGGGAGCACAGATTAATATATTTGGTGACTCCGCGCGCACAAAGCCTCGCCATTGTGGCCGTGTCTGAATGCCTGTGAATAGGACGGAGCATATGTGGCCTGTCACCGCAGGTGCCCACATCTGTTCGTCTCCGGGCAGATGCTCTCAGAAAAGGGGAGAGCATTTCCAAAAGCACGGGCCCGCCCCATCCATACCCATCCTCTGCCTCGTAATCACCTTCTGCGGAGCAGTTTCAGCCCCCCTCCCCGCGCGTACGAAGCCGCAGAGAGATGCGGAAAGAAATGGAAACAACGCAAATTGGAAGTGGCTCGGAAAGCCCTGAAAACATACGACCAGACTGCTGCCACCCCCCAAAGTTTATTAGCAGCAGGTTTTGCGCTGCAGCCAGCACACAATACACAAGATGTGCGCACCGTGCGAGGGGGGTTGCGGGCCACAGGGGAGCAGAAAACCCCTTCATGCATGAAACGCGGTACAGTACAGCGGCACGCTGTGCTGACTGTCACAGGAGCGGTCTGCTCCTTGCAGTAGCAGTTTGCAGATACTCTTTGGAGTTCTGGCTTAAGATGATGATAAATAAAGCCAGGGGAAAAGGAAGAGGGGGGTTCCCCATGAGAAATGCTGAACGCGGTAAATATTGCTACCAAGGTTGGTAGCAGAGGGGAATATTTCCAGCCATCCCATGAAATCTCATTGCCAGAGTGCAACACATTTTTCTGAGAAGTGCTATAACTCTTTTTTTTTTTTTTTTTTTTCCCCGGTGTGCATGATTTGAGCCAGCTCATGGCCTGTCCCCCCTGCTCCAGGACACTGACACTGATGCATGCCAGGCCACGGCTCCGCAGGGGGCCTACACTGGCCTTGCCTGATGGGGCAGGTGGTGTGCTTGGGATCTCAGGGTGTTTTGGGTTGGTTGGTGGTCAGCACAGGAACTGTGGTTTCTAGGATGTTTAAGGTCGCAAGCCTGGGGTTAAAAGGGGCAAACTTCTGTAGCTGTAGGGCTGAGCTGCACCCACGCAGGGCACGGAAGGTGCGGTAACTTAAGTACCACACCTCTTCTGCTGCTGAGGTAAAGGAACAGGGTGGAAGGTTTGGGCTGTTTCAACAGATTGGAGGTCAAGGGAGTGAGCGGACCTTCATCCAGCCTAGGGACAGCCAGGGGAAGGCGCCTTCCCTGGTTGGGGTGAGCCCAAGGGCCTGGAGGATGGCAGGGGGCAAGGAGTGGGGGAGCCTCTCCCACGGCCAGCCTGCAGCAGGGATGTGCAGCCCACCGCAACCCTTCCCCTTTTGGGAGCGTGCTCGCACACACACGAGTGGCCAATTTTATCCCTCGCAGTTTCCCACAAGCAAAATCGCGTCGGAAACGAGCCAGGGAGAAAACCCAAACAAACAAGTAGCGCAGGGGAGCGGGGGCGGCGGGGGGGGGGAGGGGGGGGGGGGGCTCGCTTTCTCCTCGTGTGCCATCAGAAAAACACATATAGGGGCCACTTTGGGATTTGCCCGGGGAAGGGTTGGAGAGCAGCTGGCTGCGGTAATCTCATCGGGAGACAAAGGAATGCCCCGCCGGTCCTAGGATCACAGGTAAACACACAGCCATTGTCATGAAAATGAGGGGCTAGGATAGGGCTGGAGCAGATGATTTGCGATTTGAAAAAAGGGGGCTGGGGGGGGGGGGGGGGGGAAGGGAGGGAAGGCCCGGAGCTGCTTATCTATCATCTGGCCTCTCTGTGTGCCAGCTGAGCCACGCGACTGCCCTTTCTTATTCTAATCAGCACATGCCTTTGCAACTTTGGGCTAACCTACATGCGCAACTTGGTAATCCCCCTCCCCGCACACGGCAAGCGCGGCCCGGCGCCCCCGAGGGACCGCGGGCGGGGGTCGGGGACCGGGGGCGGGGGGCTCGGCGCCCCTGGGGAGGGGGTGAGGGGGGGGGGGTAGGGGGGACACGGGCAGCACGGCGGGCACCGCGCCGAGCCCCGGCCGCCGGGGACGCGGCTCCCGCTTCCCCCGCCGGCCCCGGGGACACCTGACGGGGGGCTGCGGCGGAGGGGCTCCCGCATGCCTGCGGAGGGGCTAGGGGGCTAATTAAAATATTATGCACACTCGGCTACACATAGCTCCACACGTAACGGCGGCGCACCGTTCGCCATATGCCCGCAGCCCCCCGGCCCGGGCGAGGGAGGCTCGCAGGGCGGTGAATTCAGCGCCTCGCCCTCATTAGCAGCCCCCCCGCCACCCCCCACCCCCCCCCTTTTGGAAGTGACTTTTCCCATAATCTGGCTTGTTTGGAAATAGCGGCCGATGGGATGCTCTCGGCTTGCAAAGCCTCGCCGGGGAGCGGGGGCATCGAGCGGGACCCCCGGGGTGGGAGCCGCTCCCCGAGGGCAGAGCCGGGCCAAACCGAGCTGGGCCAAACCGAGCCGGGTCAAACCGAGCCGGGCCGGGCCAAACCGAGCCGGTGGAGGCGGGCAGCATCGCGGGGGGAGCGCGGTGCGGAGACACGCGGTTGGGAGCGAAAAAGCGCCATTTGGTTAGGAGCAGATGGCTGGCTAGGGGGCTGATCGCGTCTAAAGGCGTGTCATCCCCCTTCAGCGAGAATCCCTAAGGGCTCCCCTTGTCTTCAAAATCAATGAAAATTAAAGTGCAGAGAATGGATGAATAGTTAGACCTCGAGTCCCTCCTTTGTTCGCCTCAGCTACTGGTGGGCAGGAGTTAAACTACAACAGCCTCCTATAGAAACACTTAAGTTAAACAGTCTCCCCGTTAGCCCAGCATCTGAAAGAGAGAGGGAGAGGGGGGAAAAAAGCAGAAAAAGGAGCTTTCTGCTTGATTTCCCCAATACAGAATCGCGTGGCATAAATTAAGCCGGAGAAGAATGAGCGCCGTGGGCAGGATCCTGCCGGCTCTCACGGCGCCTTTCAGTCACGCTCAGCAGCGGTAATCGAGAAATCTGTGCCACGTCAATTTAACAAATACCCGGTACCGAAGGGGGGTTGTTAAGGATTTGGGGGCAAGGCTTTTTTTTTTTTTCGGGGCTTTTTTTTTTTTTTTTTTTTCGCTAGGTTAAAGCCCTCGCGCGTGTAACTTTTTATTTCCACTTTTTTAAGCAAGGGGATGCTACTGGACCAACTTTCTACCTCTCGTTGATTAAAAGATCCCTGGTGATACACCACGTCTCACCGACGTGTCACCCCCAAATTTCAAGAGATATTCCCCCCCCCCCAATCCACTTGCTTAGTGGGGCGATCTTTCTTTTTTTTTTTTTTTTTTTTTCTTTTTTTCCTTTCCCTCCCCACTCTCTCCCTTTCCTGGGGATAACCCTGCAGCCAAGTTCGCGAAGCAGCGGCGAAGCCACTCGAAAAGATGTTGTCGCTAGGTGGCAAAAGTAATTTACGGTTCGTGCCGCCGGGGCTGCCGGGTGCGCGGCGCCCGCCCGCTGCCCGCTGCCCCCTGCCCGCTTCGGGGGTCGCTTTCCCCGTTTCGCCCCCGGTCCCCGGGCGAGAGCATCCTCGCTTCTGCCTGCCCAGAGCCTCGGCACGGCGCTGCCCGGCCGCGGGTGCGGGGGAAAAGCAAACATTCCTGCACATTTCAGCTTTCTCTGGAGGGTCGGGGGCAGGGAGGGGGGCGAAGAGCCTTCTCCTCCTCTACCTGTGTACAGAGCGCTCCGTGGGCCCCGACTGGGTTTAAGGGAGGTAGAGGGGTTGGCTGCTTGGTAAAGTACCTGCCTAGGTTTGGGGTGGGTGCCGCAAACACCCCGCAGATGAATGTGGGCAGCCGCAGTCCTGGAGCAGTCGAGAAGAGCTGGGCTGAATGAACTCATTAGTGATTTTCTTTTAATTGGTATTACCCAGTGCTTTTACTTTAAGAAGTCTTTAAGATTTTTTTTTTTTCCTAGCGCATTGTAAGATAATTTGTGATCAAGACATCTGCTTCAATGAAAGTCACATTTTGCCATGCAAATGCACGTTTCAACCCAATAAAGTCGCCATAATAAGGCTTTTAGCACGGCATACCTACAGTGAGGTTATTGTAGCCAAATCCTCTCCTTTCGCACACAAGCTTAATCTGTGCTGAAATGATCTGTTACAATTAAAATGACATTTACAGAGACAGTTACACCTTGCATCCTAATGAATCCGCCTGCGCCTACCGAAGGTGTTTAACAGAGGGCCCCAACAAAGTGGAAAACCCCGCTTCGAGTGACATGCCAGAGTCGCCCTCAAACTTTTATCCCCCTGCTCCCATCCGTCATTAAGAAGCTGCTCGAAGGGTAATCATCCCTGCTCCTCTTTCACCGCCCCAGTA